CCTGTAGGTGGTTTGTTGAGGGAGTCCTCTTAGAAGAAAGCATTTAGAAGAAGTGGTGACATGGGGGTACATAAGTCCCCAGGCATCTCTTGAGGGAGATGCTGGGACCCTATACCAGCATTTGGAGAAGAAAGCATTTAGAGAAGTGGTGACATGGGGGTATGTAAGTCCCCAGGCATCTCTTGAGGGAGATGCTGGGACCCTATACCAGCCAATACCCATTGCAAATAGGGGTGGATACTCTGCCCCAGTAAAGAGATTCAGAGTGCAGTTAAACAGAGGTTCAGCTCTTCAAAGAAGAGTTCAAGAAGTGAACAAAGGAAAAATGAAAGGAGAATAAAAGAGAGAAAAGAATAAAAAGGCAAAAAAGGAGGGGCATGCATGGGAGTGTCAGGGCAGGAACATCCACTTTCCCAGCGGTCATTCAGGAGTCCAAAGGCCCTTGGCTTTGGCCCAAGCCTTCTGAGGTCAGCCTTGTCAGAACTGCAAAATGTTGAAATCTCTTAGTTAATATCATCGAAGGAGCGAGAATTTGGAGAACATTGCCCATGGACTCATTTTCCACTCAATATGCTTATAGTATTTGGTTTAGCAAGGAGTAGAGCTATTTCTCTAAAGCAAGAGCCCTGCATGGCAAATATTTACCTTCAGGTTAATTGGCAGTGGAGAGACTTCAAGAGGTATTACATGCTTCCCCCCACCCCACCCCACCCCCGCCAAGACCCATTGTGGTTCAAGTGCTAAATAGGTGCTGTATGAACATCAATTTAAATAGCACTCTGCAGCAATCGCTTCAGAAGGAGCCATAGTTCTGTAAATAGAGTACTGCACGCACCTGGTCTCTCTTCAGTAAGTGACCATGTGATATTTCTTAATAAGAAGAAAGTGAAGTAGGCTTGGCAGACTGAACCTACTCGTTGTTGGGTTTGATAAATGCTTTCTTCCTTCACTGAAGATGTTTAATGAAGTAGATTATAGAAACCATTTCAAAACCTTTGTTTTTAAGATTAGGTGAAAGAGAAATTACCACCCACTAAAAATAAAATTCCACTGAAATGGTAAGTTAGGTATCTAACTAAACCCATGTATGTCAGGAAACATGTAGTGGGGAGCTAGAAATCACTTTCCTTGTCTTGTTCCTTTAAAATACAGCAGCAGGGGGGCGCCTGGGAGGCCCAGTTGGTTAAGTCTTCTACTCTTGATTTCAGCTCAGGTCATTATCTCATGGTTCGTGAGATTGAGCCCCATGTCTGGTTCTGCACTGACAGCATGGAGCCTGCTTGGGATTCTGTTTCCCTCTTTCTTCCTCTCCTCTATCTCAAAAATAAATAAATAAACATTAAAAAAATAAAATACATTAGCAGATAAGCAACCCTCTCCATAGCACTCATAACTCTAAATGGTGTGCCATTCAAATACCACAGACATATTTAAAAGTGGTGATTTGAATTATAAGACGGCAACTCTCCTATTCTCCTAAAACAGAAGTTAAAATTTCAGACCCAGAAAAACCAGTGCAATCTGACAAGTTAATAACTTCGATAACAAAATCACAAAGACTTCATTGATACATGAATATTGGGGGAGTTATACCAAAGACACTTGGGAGAAATTTATATATATTCAAATGGAATATTTTCTAAACTTTCCTTTAACATATTACCAAGATTGAAGCATATTTTGAAGCTCTTGGGTTTCACATTGTTAAATTTGTCATGGCAGAATATTTGTTTAGCAGATGGCATTTCAGTGCTTTTTAAGGTTCTAGGAGAACTTAAAACTAAATTGTCCTTAGGAAATGATTCCTTATCTCTACACATTGGAATCAAATCAGAACTCACAGCCAGATTAAACAGAACCTGTGAAGCAATGGTACAAATGATTGATATCTGTTGCTTAATGACCACGACTGATGTTTAGTAGTTCCTTATAAAATCAGAAGGATCCGTCATTCACTATTATATTTATCATTTTGATTTTGTGATGCAACTGGAACAATGGGCAGCAGGTTAAGAGCATAATAATATATTAAGACAGTAATCTATACTTTCCATACATCATTTTTCAGTCTTTCTGTTTTCTCTCAGATGTGTTCCATTGCAGTGAATTTTTATCTTCAAGGTCCCATCAATGTCCACAACTTCAAAGTCAACTGTGACTGGGGCAGATAAGACCCTCTCCTTGCCTTCAATTTTATTTTTCTTCTTGCTAACCCTTGGGATTCTACTCCATTAAATCAATTCAAGAAGTGTCAGTGGTTGATAATAGCTTAATATTTGCTAAAATCAACAACCAACCACAAAAAGTCATTAAACATCAACTATATCCTAGATGGAGTCTGTGCTTATATTTCATGTTATAACACACACACACATACATACCCCAGGCAATTCGCCATGGAAGACTGAAATGTAACAATCACCCCATGATTCTGAATAAACCAAACAGTACTATCTTCCCGATAACACTAAGTTTTTATCTAGGAAATATAATAAATGCAATACTCTTTTTCAAAGTCTACTGACATTGATGAATAAATATGTAATTATTGGCTTACAAAGAACTAAAAAGAGCTGTATCCCATTTTAGGCCAAGTATTCGTAGAAGAGACAGAAACCCAGAATTATAAAACAGATTGATTAGGGGTGGTTATTTATTCTAAGCAATGATGCTTTACAGCATTCTTTTAAAGTCCAAACTCTGATGTAAATATTATTTTTAATAATTAGATTTTAAAAATTCAATTTGTGCACTAACTTTAGGGATATACCTGTTAGCATTACAGCTACAAAGATTTACCAGAGCTACTTCCTGAAAAATACATCCATTTGGACAGAGTGCTAAATGTAGATCAAATTACTTTTTAAAACATGTTTTATTTTAGAGGGAGAAAGCATGAGAGTGAGAGAGAGGAGCGGGGTGGGGGGGAGTGAGGGTGAGAAAGAGAAAGAGAGAGAGAGAGAGTCTTAAGCAGGCTCCATGCTCAGTGCAGAGCTGTCACAGGGCTTGACCCTGGGATCATGACTTGAGATGCAATCAAGAGTCGGATGCAACCAACTGAGTCACCCACGTGCCCCAGGTCTAATTACCTTTTAAAATTTAAAAATATTGTATTTGATTCTCTTGGAACATTGGGCATAGAGAAGGAAGCAGAGATAACTAATATTTATTTAATATTCAATTTTTCCAGATTTTATTATTAAAACCATTTTTAAAGTTTATTTATTTTTGAGAGAGAGAGAGACAGCATGAGCAGGGAAGGGGCAGAAAGAGAGGAAGAGGCAGAATCCTCAGTAGGCTCTGTGACAGTGCAGAGCCCAGTGTGGGGCTGGAACACACTAACTACAGGATCAAGACCTTAGCCAAAACCAAGCTCAGCCAACTGAGTTACCCAGGTGCTCCAATTTTTCCAGACATTTTGCTAAGTGCTCTCTCTCTGCCTCATTTAACATTAGAACAGTTGAGATGAGTGTTCCTGTCCTTATTTTGCAGATCAGGAAGAGACCCACAGATAATCATACGGCTAGTAAGGACTGGAAAGAAATTTACAATCCAGGTCTATTGGACTTCAAGGTGCATGCCTCTTTAAGAAAATTAAACAAGAAAACCCCTTGATTTTGAAAGGAAGTAATAAGTATTTTTTGAGTATGAAGGGCCAGATTGTTACACTCCAACTACATGTAAAACAACTTTTCCAGTTAGCTAGCATTAAGCCCTTGCAAATTGTGGGTTTAGCCTCTTGAAAAAAAAACACTGAAAATTTACCATGCATGAAGAAAACAATTCAGTGGACCAATTATAGCCTACTGGCATATTAAATGCTCAGTTTTTATGAGTAAGCCATGCCAAATATAGGATCATTTTAGCTGTTGAAATCTGTCTTTATGTAAATAGATATCTGCTCTCGTTGGTGCCATCCCCAGCAATACAGATGGGCTATTTGCCGCACCGTGCCAGCCTGTAGAAAGATCTCAGGGTACCACAGATTGGTCTGCTGTTTGAGTTGGAACTGAACCAACCAGTATATGATGACTCCAGTCATCTATTATGATAGTCAATTCTCTTCATTAGCATTCATTTTTGCTCTGGGGATTCAGCCCTCACACCAAGGGTGGGTCCCTGAAAGCATCTGGTTTCCCTTTTCTCTATCACTGGCCTTGGGTGTTTCATTAATGGGCACCATTTACGAGTTTCAAATACTCTTAAATGCTGTCAGTTTACATAATCCCTGGTTCCTTCCTTTTAAAAGGTGACAGGATTAAAAAATCTTTAGCTCATTATGACGCTATAGCTTATTTCATTCTTTGTAGGGAGTGAGCATAGCCAATCTCTCAGAATGTGAAGAAAACTGTTTGCTGTGTGACTAAGCATTTTTCTTGTGTGACTTTATTCTGTAGTGACTTTCCTTTAATCCACCCTGCCTACTCTGGGAACTCCTTCTAGTGCTTCTCTCCAACTTCCAATTCTTTTTTCAAATAATAGATGTCACATCTATGCCACTTCAGAACTTCCATGCATCCGTATTCAAGTTATCCCTTTGGCCACCCTTTTACCACTATGTGAATATGGACCACGAGATTACTCAGGCAACTGAGGAACCTATGCTATGTCATTACCAGTTTATCCTTTTCCTCAGCCAACCTACTTCCAGGAAAAAACTTGGAAAAATACTCATTAGACATTTGAAAGTTCTGAATTGGAACAGATGTGACATGTATTACTCTGAATGGATCCTATATGCTAAAGAAAAGCAGAACATTCTATATGACATCCCAGTGTGGCAGCAGTACTGGACCCCACCTCTGAGCCTGCAAAATCAAGAAGCCTCAGGAGACACAGAGTTTGACAGGACTTGGGGGGGGGGGGCACTTCAGATACCAGCACATATGCCGCCCTCTCTTATGTAAGCAACTATATTCTGGGCCTTGACATGGAGTCAGTAGGATTTATTTATTCCTCGTTCTACTCCTTCATTCGCTCAACAAATATTTATTGCTTACCTGCTGTAGGCCAGGAGCTAGGCAGATGGCTTAGAATCCTCTTCTTGGCCTCATGGTGGTCTCTCCCCTCCTCTCCCCACACATTATCGAAGTGTCACTCAGTATTTGCCAAGCATTTGTGTTGTGCGAGGCACTGTGGTGGTTATTTACATAAGTACCTCTCAGCGACATCTTAATCTTGCATGATCGATCCATTCTATCGCTGAGGAAACAATCTCAGAAACTACGAGCCGATCTTCTCGAAGTCTGAGGTGGAGCCTGGCTGCTGTGGTCCCTAGTTCTCGTGGGCTCCGAACTCAGCCACGCTGCGTGTTCCTTCTCCTTGGGTGGCAGAAACCCCTCCTGGACAGTGAGCTGTTAAGTCCTCGACGAGCTGCACCAACAGCTTCCTGGAGCGCTTTGGGCAATTCCGGCTCTTGTCCAAGCAGGGCTAAGGTCAGGCTTCCTTCCCTCTCCAGGGTTTTGGGAACTCAAGGTTCTTCTTTTTCTCTTGTGTCTCTTGACAGAGGTTGTCCAGTAGCCGACTCAGCTTTTTTTCTTCTTCTCTTCATAGCTTTTCTTAGCTGCGTGAGAAAATTTGTTCTCATTTGTCTTTCCTTTTCCTAAAATGCAATTAACCTTCTTCTATACAAGGTTTAAGTTTCTCTGTGTCATTGCCCGGATCAATTGGATGCCTCCTTGCCCTGTTGAATATGTATGCGTTAAATGATCAATTTTCTTAGAAACTTCTACATGGTTGAGTCCAGTCTGGCCTTTTCTACTTAAGGACATTTAATATTCATCAAGTTACCTATCCAGTATGTGCCTCAATCTCCTCATTCGTAAAAGGCAATAGTACTTGCTTCATAGGGTTGTTGTAAGAACAAAATAAAAAATAAAATTCTTCACACAGTGACTAGAACTTAATAGGACATGAATAGATGCTAATTCATTCTTATCGAGATTCAGTAGAGCATGTCAATTACTTCCATTGGAACAAGCTCATTTGAGCTGATAGAACCTGACAATAAACCCACCCATGGGGAAGCTGGACTCTGATGCATGTGCTTAGCCACAGGTTTAGGTTGTTGGGTAAGTACACTTTCCAAAAACTACAGTCAGGTTCAATTAGGCAAATAGTTGGCAACAGAATTGACACAGAAGTAGCAGGGAGTCCTGGGATTTGAACAAGAGACAACAATGTAGACTCATTGAGGAACATTGGTCAAGGAATACGAAGGCTCAATGCTCTGGGCTGGTTTCTAGGACAGATCTCCAATCCTTTAGACACAAGGTTTAGAAGAAGTCCTGGAAAGGAAAAGGAATATACACAAGGAATGAAGATGGGCAGAACTCAACCGTAAGCCCAGGAGATAGATGCCTGAACCTGGGAAATCAGTGAGGGCTCAGGTATCAGAGCTGGTGCCTAGCACCAGAGTCAGATTCTGAACATAAAGAGCAACATGTAGCTCTCGGATGTGGGGCCCATGTAGTCCTGTGCCAAACCGAGGGCCCCAGGTAACCAGGGGCACCTGTATCCAGAGCCAGTGATTCTGGGTGGGGAGAAATATAGAGGTGAGGTACCAGGCTGAAGTGGATCCTTTAAAAGTCTATTTTTAAAAAAATCTAGTCTATACTAGATTTACAAACTGAGAGTTTAGAGACTTATGTATATGTAGGTGTCTGGATATGGTACTTAATTAATATCTTATTCTGCTACTACTGTGAAGGGTTGTAGAGATAATGAAAAATAGACGTGAAGGTGATTTTTAAGTCTTTTTTTTTTTAAAGGTTTTTAAATGTAAGGCATTGTGGCCATTACTTATAATCACATTTTTTCATGATAGCAATGCAATTTTCCATTAAAATTTTTTTTCATAATTCAGCCTGAATAATATTTCCATTATAGTAACTACAACAGGTATGTGAAATAAGCATGGTTTGAGGAATGTAATAAGAAAAGCAATTTTATTGTTGTCTCCTACTGTCACTTGGAAATATACTCAGTGAGATAAATGTTTTTCCTGCTGCTAGATGAAAGCTCAAGGGGGCTTAATGACAGAAGGTCCCATGGTGGCTTTAACTTTCAAAACAGAGCTTGATTCAGAAATTAGCATGTCTAGTCCACATTTTAGTTTTCATTTAAAGATAAGACTTCCTTGCCCTCTCCTTCCCCCTCCTTTCCCTAGCTGCCTCCTAGCCACTTGGGCAGGGAGGGACTGTAGGCTGTTTTTCTCCTCTAAGCAGCCTCACGTTTCCCCGAACATTACAACTATAAAGCACAGAGCTCAGGGAGGGACAAGGGGACAAGGACCAGAAAGTTCCTACTTGACAGGTACTTTCATTCTGTCTTTTTCCTCTCTGGGTGGCCGATGTTTAAAGCCGACTTTTCCTCTCAGAGACTGGCCTGGACTCCTTGAGAGCTCGTCTGCTGGGCCCATCTGACCTCACCTCCCGCAGGGTGCAACGCTCCTCATTCTACTGGCGACAGGCACTCCTTTTTAGCTTCTAGATGTCCAGCAGCCCAGCCGAAGCCCAGACTCTGTGGGGACCTCTTGCCCTCTGGCCAAAGCCGCAGGTAAGCAGATAAGAGCCCCTTAAAAACATTTCCATGATGGGCTCTCATTCTCTGTTGATGAGCCAACAGCAGCAAATCTAGTAGCATTCTCTGTCCTGACCGTCAGGCCAGTGGCCACTGCACCCCGCCATAGTGTCAGGCTTGGGTCACACGCCAGCCTGGCAAACATGGGTTAGGTCTCTTAAAGACTCTATATAAAGATTTCCTCACCTCATTTCCAGAAGGACAAAACTCTCCCTTTTCCCTTTTTTTTTTTTTAAGTTTATTTATTTATTTTGAGAGAGGGTGAGCGAGCATGAGCAGGGGAGGAGAAGAGAGAGAGAGAGAGAGAGGAAGAAAGACAGTCACTGTCAGGCTGTGCACTGACAAGGGACTTGAACTCAGGGACCTTGGGTTCATGACCTGAGCTGAAATCAAGAGTCCGACGCTTAACTGACTAAGCCACCCCGGAGCCCCCAAAACTTTTTTCAGTAGGTGAAAATTTTTATGATTCCACCCTCCCAGTCAACATTCTATATCATCCAATTAGGTGAGGGGTTTTAAAAGGGCTGTAAGTGGATCTCCTAATTTTATTTGAAAATGCATGTATGGTCTGACATCTCCTTTTGGAATCACATATCTATTGTAACAGATGTTTAAGTAACACTTCAACTTCCTGCCAGCCCTCCCCACTGCCTTATCAACGACTCTAAGGCACCCATTAACAGCTACTTCAAGGCACTTTGGGCTCAGTGTTCTCTTCAGTGGCCACTGATCAGGTCCTAAGCTACTGTCACATTTTAGGTTTTCGTTGAGACAACAATCCACTTCCAGATGCCAAGACCTATTAATAGTTATCTACTGTGTAATAAATTACTCCCCAAGATAACAACTTTAAACAGCAAATATTGGGGTGCCTGGAGGTTCAGTCAGTTGAGTGTTGGACTCTTGGTTTCGGCTCAGGTCATGATCTCATAGTTTGTGAGTTTAAGCCCCGAATCAGGCTCTGTGCTGACATCACGGGGATTTCCTGTCCCCCTCTCTCTCTGCCCCTCCCCTTCTTACTCTCTCTCTCTCAAACTAAATAAGCTTAAAAAATTTTAAAACAACAAATATTGATTTTTTTACAGTTTCTGAGGGTCAGGAAACGTGGAGCCGTTGGATCTCTCTCACATAGTTGTACTGAATTGTCAGCCGGGCCGCAGGCTGTGGAGGCTTGGCTGGGGTTGGGGTGCCATTTCCAAGCTCACTTCCCTGGATGTTGGCAAGAGGCTTGAGTTCCCCCTCACATGGGCCCCTCCTCAGGGCTATACATGACATGGTTTCACCCCGAGTCAGTGATCCAGGACAGAAGAAGCACATTCCTGATGAAGAAGCTGGAGGTCTTTTACACTCTAATCTCAGAAATGAATGCCTTCACATATGTTCTATTTAAGTCGTTAGAAATTAGTCATTAAAATTAACATACACTCAAGAGGAAAGGAATTAAGCTCTACCTCTTGAAGGGAGGAGATTCAAAGAACTTGAGGGTATACATTCAAAACCACCGCAGGCAACATGCTGTCTGAGGAAGACAGTTTTAGAGAGTTTTAACTTCTTTGTTTCACGGTTGTCTTGATAAGGAGAAATCTGTTATAAGATGGCCGACAGGACTGATAAGGAAATAGCTGTCCCTGATCAAAGTCTCCCTCTTCCGGGTTCTTCTTCCCACCCTGCTTGTCGCATGCATTAATGAGGAATGTGGAAGTAACAGGCTATAAATTATTCCCTCTGCTATGCTCTGAGCTCAGACCTCTGGAGAATGATCTCCTCTGAGCCCACCGGTGTAAAATAAACCTCCTCCCTTCCAAGATTTCCCACTGCCGCTTGGATCTTCCGCCAGGTGATCCAGACCAGGTTCCGCAACAGTCTGATTTTAAGATGTAAAATATCTAACCCCACCCTCTAAAAAATAAAAAAAGGCTTAAGTAGTATTAGTTGTATGAAGGCATTAAAGGAGTTGATCATTAAATGTCACAATCTAGCTTAGGCAAAGAGAAAAAGAAAAAGAAATCTTGTGTGTGTGGTTAATTTAAAAAGTACTGACATCAATGAACAGAGTACTCTGTTGCATCAGGAGTGAAAGTGGGCACTTCCTACTGCTAGCTTTATCTTGTAGCTTCTTTCTTTCAGATTTGTGGCTAAATAATATGTGGTCAAAGTGTTTTCATCACCTACCTTGTCAGTACAAGTACTTCCTCTTTGTTGACTTCTAGTTAACTTGGAGCAATCAATGCATTCCAACCTGAATAAGTTTTCTACAGAGGAAATCTATGAACTTGAAAAAGATCTGAAAGTTACATAAAAACTATCATTAAATATTATTACAGAGATGTGTAGAAGTAGTATATTTGTTCATTAGAGAGGTACAGAATTGTTATAGAACCTTGTCAATTGTAATTGTCATTTGCATTTTTTATTCTCCTACATAGATGCAGAGCAGGGTAGTGTTAATCCAATAAGTAGGTAACATTTAATGGCCAAAAAACGTTGGAACGTTCTAGAACAGTTCTGCTGCCAAACATTGTTCTGGAAAGAACTGGAGTTCACTAGGAGAATCGAGGATGGGAGAAAGGAACTTATTATTTCCAGGCTTCCCTAATATATTCACATGGGCTGTTTAAAATGAGTA